TGTCCAGTTCTGGGCACCACAGTTCAAGAAGGACACTGACAAACTGGAACGTGTCCAGAGGAGGGCAACCAAAATGGTCAAAGGCCTGGAAACGATGCCTTATGAGGAACGGCTAAGGGAGCTGGGCATGTTTAGCCTGGAGAAGAGGAGGTTAAGGGGTGATATGATAGCCATGTTCAAATATATAAAAGGATGTCCTATAGAGGAGGGAGAAAGGTTGTTTTCTGCTGCTCCAGAGAAGTGGACACGGAGCAATGGATCCAAACTACAAGAAAGAAGATTCCACCTAAACATTAGGAAGAACTTCCTGACAGTAAGAGCTGTTTGACAGTGGAATTTGCTGCCAAGGAGTGTGGTGGAGTCTCCTTCTTTGGAGGTCTTTAAGCAGAGGCTTGACAACCATATGTCAGGAGTGCTCTGATGGTGTTTCCTGCTTGGCAGGGGGTTGGACTCGATGGCCCTTGTGGTCTCTTCCAACTCTATGATTCTATGAAACACCAAGCACCAGCTTCCAAGGTATTGTGTACATTTCACCTGGAAAGGCTAAAACTCACTTAGTCAGGATATGCCCTTGAGCAGTTCAACAAAGAGAGATGGATACTGCCTTAATTACAAAGGCTGGAGATTATCTGATTGAAAAGGAGGCAGATGAAAGAACCTGAGGTTTGGTCCGTTTCCCTTCTTGACATCTTAGTACTACAAGGGTATGCTTGGAAAGATTAGTATTGCTTTAATTAACAACCCGCCCTTCACCCTAAGGTCCCAGGGCTGGTTGCAACAGTTTTGAATGCAATCGGATTGGTGAAGCCATCACTTTTATAGCTTTGGAGTTCAAACTTCAATCTGCGGTGCTGGCTGGCATTTCCATTGATGCAATTGAATAAGAGTTTGTCCTTGAGCTCTAGTTGACTCCCTTTTGTCCACAGGACTCCCTCCCCTGCTTGTGAAGCCTCTTTGCCTGCATACCCCCTTCCTTTGAACCCTGCAAGGCCCACCAAAGTCCTTCCTAGAATGATCAAAGGGATGGAGTGGCTGCCCGTGAAGTTAGGCGACATGTGGGGCTTTTCAGTTTCGAGAAAAGGCCAGCAACAGGGGGCATGGTGCAAGTTTTCAAAAATTATAGATGGGGAAGATGGATAGAGAAAAGTTTGAGAAGTCTGCTGGGCCAGATGAGTCACTGGTCTGGTCCATGTTCTTTTGCTTCTGGGAAACTTGGCTTGGTTGGGCTTCCCAGGCATGTACAGTGGTGCCTCGCAAGACGAAATTAATTCGTTTTGTCGTCTTGCGATTTTTTTCGTCTTGCGAAGCACGGTGTCGGGAAAGTTTTGGAACAGCTTCCAAAATCACCAAAGTCTTTAAAAACCTCAAAAAAGGCTACCACACCGCGTTCTATGAGTTGCTCCTCGAAGTCAAGTCGCAACTGTATTAACGGTGTTAAGAAAAAGGAAACAAACTTGCAAGACGTTTCCGTAGGGAAAATCGTCTTGCGAAGCAGCTCAAAAAACAAAAACCCCTTTCGTCTAGCGAGTTTTTTGTCTTGCGAGGCATTCGTCTTGCGAGGTACCACTGTACCGTATTTTTCACTCTATAAGACGCACCAGACCACAAGACGCACCTAGTTTTTGGAGGAGGAAAACAAGAAAAAAAATATTCTGAATCTCAGAAGCCAGAACAGCAAGAGGGGTCGCTGCGCAGCGAAAGCAGCAATCCCTCTTGCTGTTCTGGCTTCTGGGATAGCTGCGCAGCCTGCATTCACTCCATAAGACGCACACACATTTCCCCTTACTTTTTAGAAGGGAAAAAGTGAGTCTTATAGAGCAAAAAATACGGTATACCTTTTGAACGCTCGGCTGCTTTCTATAGACATGCACAGAAGCCCCCTCCTCCAGGCAAGCAAAATGCATTATCAGAGTTCCAGGACACATTCCAGCCTGGTGCAAATACTCAAGGAGGATGTGAAACAAGCCTGGCAAAAGGGGGCGTGGCTAGGGAGGGGCGTGGCCTGGAGAGTCGCAAGGGCCCACTCAGAGAGAACTTGGGGGCCACAGAAGGCCTGAGTTTACCTACCCTTGGTGTAAAGTGGGAAGCCCTGCCTGGTCTTCAGGGTGTGTTGTTTCATATATATATGTTACAGTGGTACCTCGGGTTACATACGCTTCAGGTTATAGACGCTTCAGGTTACAGACTCCACTAACCCAGAAATAGTACCTCGGGTTAAGAACTTTGCTTCAGGGTGAGAACAGAAATCGTGCTCGCGGCGCGCGCGGCAGGGTGGCAATGGGAGGCCCCATTAAGCTAAAGTGGTGCTTCAGGTTAAGAACAGTTTCAGGTTAAGAACAGACCTTCGGAACGAATAAAGTACTTAACCTGAGGTACCACTGTATATTGTAAGCTGCTCTGTAATTCGGATGAAAGGTGGAATATTAATATTATTAAAATTAATAAAACTTAGGGAACCTGAAGGAGCGTCTCCACCTCCATCGTTCTGCCCGGACACTGAGGTCCAGCGCCAAGGGCCTTCTGGCAGTTCCCTCGCTGCGAGAAGTGAGGTTACAGGGAACCAGACAGAGGGCCTTCTCGGTAGTGGTACCTGCCCTGTGGAACGCCCTCCCATGAGATGTCAAGGAAATAAGCAGCTATCTTATCTTTAAAAGACATCTGAAGGCAGCCCTGTTTTGGGAAGCTTTTAATATTTAATGTTGTATTGTTTTTAATACTCGATTGGGAGCCACCCAGAGTGGCTGGGGAAACTCAGCCAGATGGGCGGGGTATAAATAATAAATTATTATTATTATTATTATTATTATTATTATTATTATTATTATTATTTATTTATTATTAATTTAGTTGTGCTATCATAATGATTAAGGCTTCAAATGATAATTTTAGTTATATGTTAGCGACTAAGTTTTAATTTATATATTTATTAACTGTTGCTATATCTGTATTGTCCCTGTTATACCTAATTTGCAAATTCAAATGTATCCCTATTGTGTTTTATGACTTCCTTGATATTGTATGTGGGCTGGAACTGGTCTGTGACTGAAATAGTCAATTCATCATCATCATCATCATATTATTATTATTATAAATTTACAGTGGAGCAAAGATTCATTTGCCAGTCTTACCGTGGTCTAATTTTAGTATGTGTGGCGTGTGCTTCATCTTCTAGCGATTTCTTCCAAAATGCTGCCTTGCAAGGAGGCATTGATGGACACTTCTCCAAAGCGATGACGGGCCAGATGGCACTCACTCAGGTAAGACTGAGGGGCTGCGGGAGGGAGGGGTCTTTGGCTTGGGCAGAGCATGTCATGGCGGAGGCATGGGCCCCAATGTTCCATCGCTGGGATTCTAGACAGCAGGACAGTTCCGTCAGGCCCGGTTCGGTGGGATCCGAAAGACATTTCTGCCTTCTCCATCGTGCTTGCTGGAAAGAACCTTGCCTTTTCTTGCACAACTGTTTCAAAGTTTTAGCCTGGAGAAGAGGAGGTTAAGGGGGATATGATAGCCATGTTCAAATATTATAAAAGGATGTCATATAGAGGAGGGAGAAAGGTTGTTTTCTGCTGCTCCAGAGAAGCAGACACGGAGCGATGGATCCAAACTACAAGAAAGAAGATTCCACCTAAACATTAGGAACAAACTTCCTGACAGTAAGAGCTGTTCGACAGTGGAATTTGCTGCCAAGGAGTGTGGTGGAGTCTCCTCTTTTGGAGGTCTTTAAGCAGAGGCTTGACAACCATATGTCAGGAAGAAGAAGAAGAAGAGTTTGGATTTGATATCCCGCCTTTCACTCCCTTTTAAGGAGTCTCAAAGCGGCTAACATTCTCCTTTCCCTTCCTCCCCCACAACAAACACTCTGTGAGGTGAGTGAGGCTGAGAGACTTCAAGGAAGTGTGACTGGCCCAAGGTCACCCAGCAGCTGCAAGTGGAGGAGCGGGAGACGCGAACCTGGTTCCCCAGATTTAGCAGACTACCGCTCTTAACCACTACACCACACTGGCTCTCACCTCAGGAGTGCTCTGATGGTGTTTCCTGCTTAGCAGGGGGTTGGATCGATGGCCCTTGTGGTCTATTCCAACTCTATGTTCTATGATTCTATGATTCTAAGATAAATAATGCAATTCTCCTAAGGTTGGTGGCAGGGGAGCACACTGGGAAGGTCGTAAATCTGTGGCAGATCATCCGCAGAAGGTCAGGTTCAGTCCCTGGTAGGGAACCTATACAGCCTGGAAACCCTGGAGGGCTGCTCTCCATCCATGCAGACAACACTGAGGTTTTGTTGTTGTTTAGTCATTTAGTTGTGTCTTACTCTTCGTGGACCCCCTGGACCAGAGCATGCCAGCACTCCTGTCTTCCACTGCCTCCTGCAGTTTGGTCAAACTCATTGCTGGTAGCTTCGAGAACGCCGTCCCACCATCTCGTCCTCTGTCGTTCCCCTTCTCCTTGCGCCCTCCATCTTTCCCAGCATCAGGGTCTTTTCCAGGGAGTCTTCTCTTCTCATGAGGTGGCCAAAGTCTTTGGAGCCTAGCTTCGGATCATGTCCTTCAGTGAGCATCAGGGCTGATTTCCTTTAGAAAGGAGAGGTTTGATCTTCTTGCAGTCATGGGACTCTCAAGAGTCTCCTCCAGCACCAGAATTCAAAAGCATCAATTCTTCGAGCTGATCAGCCTCTTTATGGTCCCAACTCTCACTTCCATACATCAACACTGAGGTAGTGGACCCAATGGTCTGACTTGTCATAAAGCAGCCTCCTGTATTCCTGTGTTTCAGATGATGGCCGACTTTGAAGAAGACTGTAAGAAGGGCTGCTGGTGCCTTCTTGGAGGCCTCCCTCCCAAAACAGTTTCTCGGTGGGCTCAGATCGTTGAGAAATTGATGGAGGAACCATTCCTGTCAATACTCGCTTCCTGCGGGCAGCCTGTGATGCTCAGGGGGGAGAACGGTAATGGCTCCTTCGTGTGGCAAGGGGTGGCTGTTACACAACCTGGGTGCCTCCGATGGTTCACGGCTATGTTGGTGTGGTATTTTTGTAGGGTGCTTTTTTATGAGCTTAGGGACGTGGGTGGCGCTGTGGGTAAAAGCCTCAGCGCCTAGCACTTGCCGATCGAAAGGTCGGCGGTTCGAATCCCCGCGGCGGGGTGCGCTCCTGCTGCTCGGTCCCAGCACCTGCCAACCTAGCAGTTCGAAATCACCCCCAGGTGCAAGTAGATAAATAGGGACCGCTTACTGGCGGGAAGGTAAACGGCGTTTCCGTGTGCGGCTCTGGCTCGCCAGAGCAGTGATGTCACGCTGGCCACGTGACCCGGAAGTGTCTCTGGACAGCGCTGGCCCCTGGCCTCTTAAGTAAGATGGGTGCACAACCCCAGAGTCTGTCAAGACTGGCCCGTACGGGCAGGGGTACCTTTACCTTTACCTTTACTTTTTATGAGCTTAGAAGGAGCCCTTTATTTATTCACAATGTTGATATCCTTCGTTTATTGCTTGTATGTTTAAAAGCATTTCTAAAACGCTTAACATTTTAAAAACTCTCAAAGTGGCATAGTCATACCTCAGGTTACAGATGCTTCAGGTTCCGTTTTTTCGGGTTACGGACCACCGAAACCCGGAGTTACCGCAATGGGTTACTTCCGGGTTTTCGGCGGCCGCACATGTGCAGAAGCACTAAATCGTGCTTTGCGCATGCACAGAAGCACCGAATCGCAACCCGCACGTGCACAGACATGCCGCTGCGAGTTGCGAACGTGCATCCCACACCGATCACGTTCGCAACCCGAGCATCCACTGTTACAGCGATCCAACAGAAAAAGCAATATGACAGTATTCCGAAAACAGATGTAGCATGAAAGCTTTTCCCTCTGAATGGGTCATTTCTATTATTATTAAATTTCCATGCCACCCTTCACCCGAAGATCACAGGGCGGTTCACAAAGCACCCAAGCCCTTCTCCCTGCACCCTAATTCTTTATGCTATCTGAATCCACATCTGGAATTAAGACGTATTTCCTAACTATGGTACGGAATGTGGCCTGGGCTTTGGTTCATCTTCTGACTCTTCCTGCCTCTCCCCTCCTCCCAGGCTTCAAGACAGCTTCTCTGCCAACAAACTGGGTTGATGACAGCCACTTCAGCACCGTACAGGCCTTGCCCTTTGTCTGCTGAACAGATATTTTGACCGGGTGATTGAGTCATGCCGTGTCGGTCTGCAGAAGCCAGATCCCAAGATCTATGAGTATGCACTGGATGTGCTGAAAGTGAAACCTGAAGAGGTTGGTGGCACACATCTGAGAGCCAGTGTGGTGTAGTGGTTAAGAGCGGTAGACTCGTAATCTGGGGAACCGGGTTCGCTTCCTCACTCTTCCACATGCAGCTGCTGGGTGACCTTGGGCCAGTCACACTTCTCTGAAGTCTCTCAGCCCCACTCACCTCACAGAGTGTTTTTTGTGGGGAGGAAGGGAAAGGAGATTGTGAGCCGCTTTGAGACTCCTTAGGGTAGTGATAAAGCGGGATATCAAATCCAAACTACTACTACTACTAATACTACTCTTCTTCTTCTTCTTCTTCTTCTTCTTCTTCTTCTTCTTCTTCTTCTTCTTCTGTCTTGTACTTGCAAAAAGCTTCTGTTGTTCCCTTCAGGGACTCTCTCTCTCTCCCTCTCGCTCCTCTCTCTCTCTCCATCCAGATTGTTTAACCATCAGTCCTGAACTGCAGGGGGTGACTAGGATGACCCCTTGGGGTCACTTTTCAACTCTACAATTCTATGATTCTACGCTCTGGTGCAGGGGTGGTGGTGAGGAACCTGTCACTGTCAGAAAGTTCTCCCTACTGTTTAGCCAGAATCTCCTTCCTTGTTACGAGTGGTACCTCAGGTTACATACGCTTCAGTTTACATACGCTTCAGGTTACAGACTCGCGTAACCCAGAAATAGTGCTTCAGGTTAAGAACTTTGCTCAGGATGAGAACAGAAATCGTGCTCCGGCGGCTGCGCGTGCAGTGCAGGAGGCCCCATTAGCTAAAGTGGTGCTTCAGGGTTAAGAACAGTTTCAGGTTAAGAACAGAGCTCCGAATGAATTAAGTGCTTAACCCCGAGGTACCACTGTAGTTCGAATCCATTGGTTCAGCTCCTCCCTCTGGAGCAGCAGAAAACAAGCTTGTTCCATCTTCCACGTGGCAGCCCTTCAGATATTTGAAGGTGACTATCCTGTCACCTCTCAGTCTCTTCTTCTCCAGGCTAAACACACCCAGCGCCCTCAAACTTTCCCCATAAGATTTGGTTTCCAGACCCTTTGATCACCTTGGTTGTTTTCCTCTGTACACTCAGTGCCAGTTGTGTGCAGGGCCAAAAAGGGCTTGTATGCACCACTGACCAGCTGTTTTGTGGTCTTGTGGTGAAAGACAAGTATTCAGAGAGCAAATTGGGATGAGGCCTTCGGAGAAAATCCATCATCTGTTCTCCTTTCTCTTTAAATTTAGTTTCAGAAGTAGGTCTGTGTGTATATACATGTAATTGGACCCCAGTGGTGGTCGATGGGGAGATCAAACCCATACCATTTTCCTGATTTGATCCACACACTCAATATACTCTTTGCCACATTAGAGGGGGTAAGGCCTGTGGTCCTAGTCCAAAGAGAGCAAATTGCAGTGTATGTATGTTTGTTTGGCTTCTCTCTTCTCCTCTCTCTCTCTCTCACACGCACGTGCACACACGTGCACACACAGACACACACTCATACTTGGCGTGTTTGTATTCAACTCTTCAGTTAAAAAGGCTCCCTGAATAGCCTACATGCGATCAGTTGAAACAGTCCCTGCCCACAAGCTGCCAATCTAAAAAAAAAAAAAAAGCACAACACATAAGTGAAAAGGGACAGGGATGGAAGTAGGGGGCAGGAATCAAACTCAGGCACCCGTTCTTAGGGAGCTGTTCTTACATGTCATTAGCCAGTCCTCCAAAGGAGATAGAGAAAGAGACTGTGACCTGTCCGGGAAATTGTGGTGGAGAAAGGGTTAACTGCCCCCACTTGGCTGCTCTTTTGATTCAATCTTGCCAGACCACAGTGTTAAAAGTGTGAAGCCCAGGAATGCAGAATAATGGATCTCTAGGCTCTTTCCTAGCTTGTCCAGAGGAGGGCAACCAAAATGGTCAAAGGCCTGGAAACGATGCCTTATGAGGAATGGCTAAGGGAGCTGGGCATGTTTAGCCTGGAGAAGAGGAGGTTAAGGGGTGATATGATAGCCCATGTTCAAAATATATAAAAGTGATGTCACATAGAGGAGGGAGAAAGGTTGTTTTCTGCTGCTCCAGAGAAGCAGACACGGAGCAAATGGATCCAAACTACACAGAAAGAAAGATTCCACCTAAACATTAGGAAGAACTTCCTGACAGTAAGAGCCTGTTTGACAGTGGAATTTGCTGCCAAGGAGTGTGGTGGAGTCTCCTTCTTTGGAGGTCTTTATAGCAGAGGCTTGACAACTCATATGTCAGGAGTGCTCTGATGGTGTTTCCTGCTTGGCAGGGGGTTGGACTCGATGGCCTTGTGGTCTCTTCCAACTCCTATGATTCTATGATTCTGCTGCAGATTGTAGTCTTCCCCAGTGACTTGGGCTGGCTGATCTAAGAAGGTCAGAGGGGTGGATGGATCAAATCCGTTGAAGGTTTTGGGGGCAGGGGGTGGTGTCATGACTCCTAGCCCCTTCAGATTATGCCAGTTCCCTAGGCAGATCAGGACAGTCCTGTTTTCCTTGGTGCAGAATTAGGACTGGCTGGGTGCAGAATAAGTTTTTTTAAAAAGAAAAAATTGTGTATATACACAAAGCATTCCTTTCCAGCCACGAGGTAGTGTGGTGTAGTGGTTAAGAGCGGTGGACTCGTAGTCTGGTGAACCGGGGTTCGCATCTCCACTCCTCCACCTGCAGCTGCTGGGTGACCTTGGGCCAGTCACACTTCTCTGAAGTCTCTCAGCCCCACTCACCTCACAGAGTGTTTGTTGTGGGGGAGGAAGGGAAAGGAGAATGTTAGCCACTTTGAGACTCCTTCGGGTAGTGAGAAAGCGGGATATCAAATCCAAACTCCTCCTCCTCTTCTTCTTCTAGTCAGAGGCCCACTAGATCTAATAATGGCAGAATCAGGATAGGTGCGTTCGTTCTTTCCTTTCAGCTGACTCTGGCTTTTGCTTCTTCCTCGCGCCAGGTTATTTTTCTGGATGACACTGGCGCAAACTTGAAGCCCGCTCGGGAGATGGGCATGGCCACCATCCTCGTGAAAGATTTTGACTCTGCTCTGAAGGAGCTGCAGGACCTGACGGGAGTTCAGGTGAGGAGCTTTTTTGCATGCGGACATTGAGTGGAAATGACTTTCTCTCTGTAGGTTGGTTCCTGAGTTTTAGCAATTGCACCTGTGGATTGCATTGCAATCCTAACGAGTAATGGACATAAGAAGGAGGCTGCTGGATCAAGCCAACGTGCTGTCTAAATAATAAATTATTATTGGATCTTTAGAAGAAGGCAGCCCTGTTTGAGGAAGTTTTTAATCCTTGATGCTTTACTGCGTTTGCTGTTTTAACTCGTTGGAAGCTGCCCAGAGTGGCATATAAATTATTATTATTACTAATCCAGGATCCTGTTTGCACAGAGGCTGCAAATGGAAACCTACAAGCAGGATTTGAGCATGAGAGCACTGTCCTCTCATCTCCTGTGGTTTCCAGCGACATCTGTTCAGAAGTTGTTGCTGCCTCCAATTCCTTAGTCTGGACACTGTGCCTCTGTTGATGCAGCCTTGAATAGCGTCAGCTTTTTTGCTGCTTCATCAAATTGTTGACTCGTGTTTATTTATTTATTTATTTATTTATTTATTTATTTATTTATTTATTTATTTATTTATTTTTATATCTACCCCGCCCTCCCTGGCCAAGACCGGTGGCTCAGGGCTGCTAACATCAGGTATAAAAACAATTGATTAAAATACAACTGAAAAACAAGATTATAATACTACTTAAAATGCAGCTTCATTTGAGTGGAGCCCAGATCAAAAACTGTTGGGGGGGGCGGGGGGAAACGTCAAATCTTCACCAAGGCCAACTATCCAGACTGGTCCTACGTGGGCCAGAAAAGCCAGGGAAGTCCCCAAATAGGAGTTCCATCACTGAAGGAGAAAGGAAAGAGGGAATCAAGTTGATTCCAAGCCAAAGGCCAGGCGGAACAACTCTGTCTTACAGGCCCTGCAAAAAGAAATCAGATCCTTCAGGGTCCTGGTCTCATGAGACAGAGCGTTCCACCAGGCCGGGGCCAGTGTTGAAAAGGCCCTGGCTCTGGTTGAGGCTAATCTGACTTCCTTAGGGCCCAGGACCTCTAGGGTGTTGCTATTTATGGACCTTAAGGTCCTCTGCGGGGCATACCAGGAGAGGCAGTCCTGTAGGTACGAGGGTCCTAGGCTGCTTGTGGTCTCCTAATAACCCTAGATCCTTTTCAAATTTACATGTTACATTCGTGCAGCTAGCCATTCCTGCCTAAGTGCATTTATCCTTGCATTTATCCCCACTGAATTTCAATTTGTTAGTTTGGTCCCAGTTGTCTGATCTGTTAAGGCCATGTTGAATCCCGATTCTGTCTCTGCAGTTTGGTTCATCTGCAAATTTGACGAGCGTTCCTTCAGTTCCTTCATCCAAGTTGTTTATAAATATGTT